ACCCTGTCTCGAAAAACCAAAACCAAAAACAAAAACAAAAACAAAAAAAACACAAGCTGAGCAAGCCAATAAGCCGAGTTCCTCATGGCCTCTGCTTCCCTCTGCTTCAGTTCCTGGCTCCAGGTTTCTGCCTTGAGTTACCTAAAGATTTATTTATTTATTATGTACACAGTGTTCTGCCTGCACACCAGAAGAGGGCGCCAGATCTCATTACAGATGGTTGTGAGGCACCATGTGGTTGCTGGGAATTGAACTCAGGATCTCTGAAAGAACAGCCAGGGCTCTTAACCTCAGAGCCATCTCTCCAGCCCCATTCTTGATGGAATGTAAGCTGTAAGGTGAAATAAACCCTTCCCTCCCCACGTCCCTTTGGGTCATGGTGTTTATGTGTGGAGTTTTTTGCAGGAGAAAGCAAGGCAGGGCAGTTCCTCTGTTTACCAAACAAACACAGCATGGAATCATTCTGGGTTTTTGTTGTTGTGTGTTTGTTTGTTTTTCCAGACAGGGTTTCTCTGTGTAGCTCTGGCTGTCTTGGAACTCACTCTGTAGACCAGGCTGTTCTCGAACTCACAAAGATCCTCCTGCCTCTGCCTCCCAAGTGCTGGGATTAACGGTGTCGGTGTGCGCCACCACTGCCCGGCCATTCTGTCTTTTATTTATTTATTTATTTATTTATTTATTTATTTATTTATTTATTTTTTTGTTGAGAGTCTAGAACTTGGCTGTTCGTTTTTTTAAACACGCTACTTTATTAACCTATTGAAAATTTTAATGTGTCTTGATTATATTTTCTCCCCCTAACTCTTCCCAGATCCACCCCCACCTCCCACTCTTCCTCCTCCTCCTCCTCCCTTCTTTCTCTTCACAAAACACCCACCACCCCTGAACAGACATGATGAGCCAAGCTCTCTAGACAAGAGCTCATTCCCTTGCCCTGTCAGAGTATCCTCATCCTACCTTTCCTTCCCCCCCCCCACCCCCCACCCCGCTCACTGAAGACAGGGTCTCCCTATAAAGTCTAGTTGGCCTGAAACTCACTCTGTAAACCAGGCCTCAAACTCACAGAGATCTGCTTGCCTCTGCCTCCCAAGTGCTGGGATTAAAAGTGTGGATGACCGTGCCTGGCAGGAATATTTTTTCAAGATTTATTTATTTTATTTTATGTATGTTTGCCTGCACATGTATCTATGCATCATGTGTGTGCACTGCCCACAGAGGCCAGAAGAGAGCAACAGAATGAACTCTCCTTTTGACCCGGGACTGGAGTCACAGATGGTTGGGAGCCACCGAGTAGACACTGGGTATTGAACTCGGGTCCTCTGGAAGAGCAGCAATTGCTCTTGAGTGCTAAGCCCTCTCTCCAGCCCCTAAAGATTTGTTTTTATTTTCAACATGTATATGTAGCCAGGAGTGGTGGCACACCCCTTTAATCCCAGCACTAGGGAGGCAGAAGCAGGTGGATCCCTGAGTTTGAGGCCAGCCTGGGTTACAGAATGAGTCTTAGGACACCCAGGGCTACACAGAGACCCAGTCTTAACAACAACAGCAAACAAAATTGCGTGCGTGCATCTGCGTTTGAACGCACCAGATCCCCTGGAGCTGGAGCTGGGGCTGGAACTGAACTCAGGTCCTCTGTAAGAACAGCATTGCCGCACCATCTCGCCAGTCTCAGGGGCATCTTCACTTCTTCATTGCCTGCCCCTCACTCTGCTCCTCCACAGTAAGAACTGCTGGACGTGTGGCTCCGTTGGGAGAGGGCTTGCCTAGCTAGCAGGAACGAAGTCCTAGATTCCACCCCAGCGCCACATACGCCAGGTGAGATGAGACATGAAGGGCCTTGCTCAAGGCCCTCAGCCACAAACTGCTCTTTTGCTGGTATTTTTTTTAGAATCTCCCTCCCTTCTCTTCCCCTCCCACTCCCCCACCCCCGTTGTAAGAAATAAAAGCAGACACGATGCCCTCGTCCTTTGGTTAAATAGGCAAAGCCAGGGGAGAATGGGGTCCAAGTCCTCCTGGGCTGGGCTGGGCTGGGCTGGGCTGGGGCTTCAGGTGCCTGGGCTTTATAGAAGGAGGACAGCCTGGGACGGGTGCCCAGGAAGCTGCCCCCACACAGATCTGCAGCCAGGCAGACGGCAGTGTTTAACAGTCTGCTTTGCAGAGAGGGCGGGCTGCAAGCCCCCCATTGGCTTCCAGAGTAGCATGTGCAAGCTATTAAGTTGGTTTATTTTTTCTAGAGTGCCAGAGTGGAAGTGACATGGACATCCTCATGGTCATCCGTGGGAACATGGCCTCCAGCATTTTCCAAAGCTGCCATTTCCGGGGCCCACCTTCCAGGCCCCCAATCAGTGGGACCCCGAGTTGACAGCGGTCAGCCAGCCTTCAGTTCTCTGTGGTATTTTGCCTCTAGGGACTATAAAGTAGAAATTTGGCAGGGTTGGGGGCCTGGTCGGGTGGAGAGATAGCTCAATGATAAGGATATTTGCTGCTCTTGCAGAGGACCCAGGTTCAATTCCCAGTGCCCACATCAGGTAGCTCACAAGGGCCTGTAACTCCAGTTCTGGGGGATCTGACGCCCTCTTCTGGCCTCCACAGGCACCTGCAGCTCCACAGCGCGCGCGCGCACACACACACACACACACACACACACGCACGCACGCACGCACGCACACACGCACACACACACAGACAAGCAGGCATATAAACAGACATATAAATAAAAATAGATTTAAAAAATGTACATAGAAAGATGGATGGGTCTCCACTGGACTCTGGGTCCTGGCCTGGTACCTGGGAAGGCCTGTTCCCACATCCACTCCCAGTTACATGAGAAAAAAAAGGTATTGCTTTAGGCCACACTTCATCCTGTGAGTTGGACTGTTGCTGATCCATTCCTCAGGTAAAGGAAGGAACAAGCACTGTGTACTGAAGACCCTGCTTAGGCACAGCCAACTTCTAGAAACTTCCATGAGGCAGATCCTATATCCAGGTCTCTTCTCTTGGGTACTCATGTGTATCCAAGCCTCCTTTTGTTCCTCAGCCACCTTCTAGTCATCAACTCAGGCCCGTCCTGCTTCTGTGACATCTTCTACATTCACCCACACTGTCTCCATATTGTCCAAGCCGCTGACCCTCCTGCCTGGACACCTGCCTCAGTTTCTGACAGGCCACCTCTGGCTCTACTCTCAAGCCACAGTCCCTCCTCCACACTAAGGCCAGAGGGCATATTCCTCCTCCCCGCACCCCCCTGCCCTGGAAGGGCCCCTCCAGACAGTTCTTTTCCTTTTTCCGGGAAGCTCACCTATGGAAATGGTCCCCTGGCCCAAGAAAAGCCTCTGACCTGACCCAAGGCCTCTGTTGTGCTCTCTGGGCCCCTGAGACACTGTCATAGCCGTAGGCTAATGGTGTATTTACTCATGTAGTAGTATATTCCCTGTGACGAGTACTACCCCTGTGGCCTGCTCTCTGCCCTAAACCCTTGCCCCAGACCCCAAAAGCTGGAGCCCATGTTGAGTGCGTCATAGACTCAGTGGATGAGTGACAGACAGAGGCCCAGGGAGTGCACACCCAGAGCAGACAGGGAACCAGAACATGGTTCTGCGCTCTGGAACATAGCTTGGCATGCAGAAAACCCGAGTTTTACCTCCAGAACCACATCAACCTGTCATGGCGGCACATGCCTGTAATCTCCGTACCTGGGAGGCAGAGCCTGGAGAATCAGGAGTTCAGTGCCAGCCTGGAACCCCATAACACCCTGCTTCAAAACACAGAACAGAAGAGCACAGCTGCCCATGCCCCAGCCCAGAGCACAGGCCTCCTCTGCTTTGGCTGGGTCCTTGCCTTCGGATGGGCCACTAGACAGCCCTGGAATGCCCATTTCTCTGCCTTCAGCCCCGAACAAGCCCACATGACCAAGGTCCCTGTTGCCAAGGCAGTAAGTCCCGCCATTTCCCAGGAGTGCTGCACATCCAAAGCATGCTGAAGCCACACGGTCTCTGCTGGGGTTCCAGTGGGAAGGAGAGGAAGAAAGCTAAGGGACCTAACTGAGAGAGTGGAGTCTGAACCCTCACTTCACCTGGAACTGCTGCCCCGACCTTCAGATGGCAGTTCACGTAGCCCAGTGCTCTCAACCCCTGAGCCATCTCTCCAGCCAGGGAATGATTAGCTTTGGGATCTCAACACAATATGGAGTCACCTATGAAGAAAGTCTCCATGAGGGGCTGTCTGGAGAAAGTTGGCTATGGACATGTCTGTGGCAGGCCGTCTTGATTACATTAAATGGTGTGGGAAGCCCCATCCACTGTGGGCAGCGTCATTCCCTGAGCCTGGGGCTCCTTGACTGTGGAAGCGTAAAGAGGGATCTGAGCATATCTATGCATTCATTCTCCCTGCTCTTGACTCTGCGTGTGACCAACTGCTTCAAGGTCCTGACCCCTCAACTTCTTCACAATGGTGGACGTCACCCGGAGTTACGAGCTAATGTAAATCCTTTCTCCCTTAAGTTGCTTTTTGCCGGTGTATTTTGTCCCAGCAACCGGAAAGGAAGCCAGGGCACCCTCCACGGTCACATGACCAGATGCCACACTTGTGCATGCTCAGTAGAAGAATCCACCCCCAGCACCTGTCCCTACACTCTCCCAGTGGCCACCCATCCTCCACACCTCATGAAGAGAAAGAGACGTGCCCTGGCCAATCACCCAGCAAGACGCCTCCAGAGCCTCCAGGTGTCCCCATGGGCCTCAGAAGTGAACCTGGAGCAGGTTCTGCCTTCTGCCCCCTCTCCCTTCTGGGGACCCCATGCATGGACAGCACCACCTCCCAAAGAACTGTACAGGTGAGCTACAGGTGAGCTGGCAGTGAGCCTCACTGAAGCTGCGGTATCGGCCAGTCCAGGCCTGGTGCCACCTCCAAACTGCTATCCACCGGGAGGGCTGTGACCCAGCCAGCCGGGTGCTGGCACCCTCCGCGAGCACCCGGCGTGCCCTTCTGAAGTCGCGCCGAGCTTAAGAAAAATGGTTTTATTCCTTAAAGACAAAAGCTTTTTGGTTTTAATACATAAATGAGTTCCTTGGCGGACTCCTGTTCCACCTTCTGGCCAGGCCGCTCCAGGGACCTCAGGCCACAATCTCAGCCACCAAAGGCACTTCCAGTACCCAGCAGGCCTCTGGAACTCAGGAAGCTGGGCTGAAGAGAAGGCACAGGAGAGGCTGCCCAGTCCCTCTGGGCGCAGGGACAGACAAGGCCACTTCCATTGCTGCTGTCTGTCACTGGGCCAGGAGGAGGCTGGACCCAGCGCACACTGTCAGTTCACTGTGGGCACCTGGCTGTGGTGGAGGCTGAACTCTTTGGCCTTGAGGCGCAGGCTGGCAATGCTGTTGGCCATGTTGACCCCGGGGGTCGCAGGACTTGAACCTCCGGGGCTGTAGGGAGGCACAGAGCTGGGGAGACAGGAAACAGAAAAACCCATTGGTGCATCTGGCTAGTCCTACTTCCCTTGACGGCCCAGGGTGGCCCTGGCCAGGGGGAGGAGACAGCATCTAGAGGTAGCACTGGGTCAAAGGCACCTCTCCAGCCCGATGGAGTGGCTCACATCACTATAACCCCAACGTCTGGGATGCTGAGGCAGGAGGATGGCCTAGCTAGAGTGTGAGACCTTTGCCCTTTGTGTATTGGCATTCCTCTCTGGATCGAGCCCCTCCTGAGAGCGGGACATGTGCTCTGTCCTGAAGCAGTACTCTGCGCCCAATGCTTCTGGGTGAGGATGGATCAGGGAGGGAGGTTGGTAACCCAGGAGACACACAAACTAACCACCCAACATCCCTCCCAGAGGTTCATGGCTCCTGCAGAGTCATCTATGCTGGTGAGAGGATGGAACTCCTAGAGCTTTGGAATATGGTGGCCCAACTCCCTAGCATCCCCTCCTTTCCACCTGGCCAAGATGGAGGGAGCCATTTTTTTTTAAGGCTGACTTTACTTTTTATTTATGTGTATGTTTGCCTACATGTTTGTCAGCACACCACATGAGTGCCTTGTCCCTGTGGAGTTACAGATGGTTGTGAGCCACCATGTGAGTGTTGGGAACTGAACCCAGGACCTCTGTGAGAGCAGCCAGTGCTCTTAACCTCTGAGCCATCTCTGCAGCCCAAGGAAGGAGTTTATTTTGTTTGTTTGTTTGTCTGTCTGTCTGTCTTAAACAGCAAAGCCACTCCTCTACATGACTCTAGACCCCGACAGGATCACAGGACAGGGAACCTTACCCTCAGCACTCCAGACTGTCTCCCACCTGGAGGGTGGATACAGGACGCTGGCTTGAGAGGCTTCCTTTAGCCTTCTAGCTACCTCAGGGTGGAGCCCACCCTTTGCTCTCCTCCAGGCAGGCCTGCCTTCATCCCTCTCCACATGCATGTACATACACACTGCACATCAACACTTGGGTGGACACACACACACACACACACACACACACACACACACACACACACACTCACTCTCATGATCCTGTGCATACTTGAGCGCTCACATGCACGGTCATGTATACACACTCATCCATACACCATCCAAGCTCTCCCCAGAGAGGTGGCCTTAAAGGGCTCACGGGGCTCCAGCTGCCCCTGCTGGCCCAGAGGAGCTCCCCAATCTCACCTGTAGGGGGATGATGCTGGCCAAGACAGATAATCCGGGCTCAGCGCGGTAGGTCGGGGGGCCACGGGTTGCTCAATGGCGGCCTCCTGGCCATAGGACTTGAGCAGGGAGGCCGAGCGGGTGGCCAGCATGGCACGCTCATTCCGGCGGAACTTGGCACGGCGGTTCTGGAACCAGACCTGAGAGGAAGGGCAGAGCAAGCAAGTTCTGGCAGATTCTGAGGGGAGCGACATCCTTGTGGGTCTGCATGACTGCTACCCCAGCCTGAGCTGGTGGCTTCATTCTCTGACCTTTTGACTCTCCCTCTAGAATGGGGGTGATTAACAGTGCCAGCAGAATGTGCTGAGGAGGACCCGTGGAAAAAAGGTCACTGGACAGGTGAGCCAGTGGGTCCTGGGATAACAAGGGAGGTGGGCATCCAGGGCAGAGCTGGCAAAGAACGTCTAAAAAGTTAATAATTTCTTCCTTCCTTTCTTCTTCTTCTTCTTTTTCTGAGACAGGGTTTCTCTGTGTAGCCTTGGTTGTCCTGGAATTTGCTCTGTAGACCAGGCTGGGCTCAAACTCAGAGATCCGCCTGTCTCTGCCTCCCAAGTGCTGGGTTTACAGGTATGTGCTACCACTGCCTGGCAAAAAAAGTTAATAATTTCTTTGCCAAAAGCTTCGTGCTTGGCACTGCTCTCGTCTCTCGTCTCTGTGTCTATGAGGTGTATGCATGTGTGTGTACATGCATGTACTCACACACATGGGTGTGTGGCGGTCAGTGGTCAGTGACCACTATTGGAGCTCTATTCCGCTCCACAATTTTCTTTTTCTTTCTATTTGTTTGTTCTTTTATTGAGAAAGAGTCTCTCACTGAGCCTGGAGCTTGTCTGTTCCAGACTGGCCGCCCGTGATCCCCAGGATCCTCCTGTCTCCACTTGCCCAGCACTGGTATTACAGGGGTACACTACCTCCCTCAGCTTTTTACACGGGTGCTGGCGATCTGAACTCAGGTCTGCATGCCATGGCGAGCACGTTACCCGCTGAGCCGTCTTCCCACCCCGGCTCTACTTTTACACAAACATCAGCTCCCTGAATCATAACATAGCCTGCATTGTAGGTGGATCTATTTGCAGGGAGAAACTGATCGGGATGAGACACCTCGCTCCTTCCACGTCACTGGCCTTAGCAAGGCTTCCATCTGAGCTTTGTTTCCCTGGCCCCAGGGGCTCTGAGCTAAGGCCTCTCTCCCCTGGCAAGTGCCTGCTCCCGGGCCACCAGTGGCCACCAGGGATGTGGGCTCTCTGGGAGCCTCTGGATGGGTCCTACTTACCTGGACACGTGCCTCGCTGAGGTTGACACGCCGGGCCAGCTCCTCGCGCACAAAGGCGTCGGGGTAGTGTGTGCGCTCAAACACTCTCTCCAGGGCCTGGAGCTGGCTGCTGTTGAACGTGGTTCGGTTCCGTCGCTGCTTCTTCTTTCGTTTGGTGGCATGGCCACGGCCCGGGCTGGGACAGTCACCTAAGGAAAGACGGAGGGTCAGCAGAGCGGCTGCACTGTGCCCACAATACCCTGTGTGGTACATGGGGTCCCTGTGGCCCAGGGATGTCCACAGTATCAGCCATCAGCTCCTCTTCCATTGGCTTTCCTGTGTCTACCTCTGCAGGTGGCCTGACCTGAGGGTTGGAACACGATGTCCTCTTAGCTAACCTGCTACCTTTTGCCCATGTCCATTTATCACTCACCCACCTATTAGTTTATCCATCCATATATCCACCCATCTACATACCCATCTATCCACCCACCCACCTACCCATCTGCCTCTCCATATATCCATCCATCCATCCATCCATCCATCCATCCATCCATCCATCCATCCATTTGTCTATCCATCCATAATATTCATCCACCTCTCCATCCATCCATCCACTCCCTCATCTATCCATTTATCTATCTGTCTGTCCATCCATCCATCCATCCATCAATCCATCCATCCATTCATTTGAGACGGTGTCTCTCTCTGAACTAGAGCCAGACAGACTTTGTGGTCAGCAAGCTCCCCAGGATCTGCCTGTCTACCCCCCCACCCCCATGCTGCAGTTACAGGTCCTCACGCTTACATAGCAGGCATTTTACCACTGAGCTCCCTCCCAGCTCCTAAAATGTGTGCTTTAGTAGCTAAGAAGCATCGCTTGCCACCGTGCCGTGTCCAGCGGACACAGGAGGGTACAAAGCAGAGCAAAGGCCCCAAGCTCCCCAGTCCCAAGCCCTGTGGTTCGTAAGACTGCATCATCATGGTTCAAACTTAGAGGCCAACAAGCATGCTGCCATGCCACATGTGCTGGGGCTCTGACTGGGCTGTTTTATTTTCTAATATTCTGGAACCTTCCATTTCAGTCTTTACTTAGCTTTTTTTTTTTTTTTTTAAGATTTATTTTATGTATGTTGGTGTTTTGCCTGAGTCTGTGTGAGGGTGTTGGGTATCCTGGAACTGGAGTTACAGTTGTGAGCTGCCATGTTGGGGCTGGGAATTGAACCCGGGTCCTCTGGAAGAACAGCCAGTGCTCTTAACCATGGAGCCATCTTTCTAGCCTTTTAATTAGTTTTTGCTCCATCCCTCCAGTATTGTCTTTTTTTTTTTCTCAGTATAATACAATGTGTGTAACGAGCCTTCCTGGGCTCATTTATTCAGCTGGTGAAGGGAACCTCTTGCTCCTCTTCACAGGGCACACACAGGCAACCGTGCTGTGGTTTGTTCACGGGTCCTCATGATGGACACTTGGTGCGTTTCCAGTTTTTTGAAGCTACAACAAACCCCCATGAAACAAGAGCATGTGTTTTGCTGCTCACATTTGCTACAGATTCCTAGACGTGGGAGTCGTGGCCAGTGAGCAAGTGTTGGGTGTGGCCAAGTCCCTTACAGGTCTGTCCTGGACGCTTCCCACCACTGCTGCTGGGGAGGCCTTGGTGGCTGCTGGTGGCTGCTGGTCGGCCATGAGAGCTGCTCACAGGCCGTCTTTGGGATTCTAATCCATACTTCCTATTTTGTTTTTTTTAGTGACACATTCCTCCCTGGTTCTGATACTCAAAGAAAACCTTGTGGCTTGCGGGCAGAGCACTTGCCTGGCAGAGGGGAGGCCCTGGGCTTTGTCCTTAGAACTGCAGAAGTGATCAAGAGTGCAAGGGCTCACAAGAGAGTGCAAGGGCTCACAAGAGAGTGCAAGGGCTCACAAGAGAGTGCAAGGGCTCACAAGAGAGTGCAAGG